GTAGTGCTTCATTGGCTTTCATGTAAGCCCGATCAAATAAAAGGGAAAGAGGATTTCCCAGGATTGAAAATTATGAATGAGCTATCTGGAAAATTACGTGGATTCTCAAAGAAACTCATTGATGAGTTTAGAATATACTCAACGGGGAAGATTATCGAATTAATTGAAGTTGAGGCTTACTGTCAACCTTCAAAATGTGACCAATGCTGCCATGGTAAGGAAAAACGCCGTATGAGCCTTCAGGCGTTGCCAAACCTCCCCTGGCAAATCGCTAATTTTCAGGAAATTTTTTGAATGTTTGTCTACCAATTTCTGAGATAATTTTGTTTGTAATTTGATTTAAAACCTCTGAAAATTTCAAGGAAAAATATTCATAATTTTCCTCTACAATAAACATTTTATCGAAGAAAATTTGGCAACTCTCGAATGTTCATACGGCGTTCTTCCTCAGCACGGCAGAATGAGCCAGCTTGTTCCTGCCTCGTTTCACCGGGATTTCTTTGTGCAATGTCAAAAATTTATTTCTAATAATATTTACAAGGATTCTGGGATATTCACATGAGTGATGAAACGGTGTTTTAAGTTGAATACTTCTACATTTGTTGAATAATGCAAAACAATGAGGTTCCTAAATCAATCAATTCCAAGTCCGCATATCTTACAGTACAACGAGTTTTTAGTTGAGTTGTACCCCGGAGAACATGAAGAATGATGTACTCTGCCGTGCTAAAGAAAAACACCGTATGAACATTCGGGTGTTGCCAAATTTCCTTTGATAAAATGTTCATTATTACGGAGTGTTATGAATATTTTTCCTTGAAAATTTCAGGAACTTTCGATCAAAGTACGAACAAAATTCTCTAAAAATTGGAAGAAAAATATTCATAAGTTTACCAGGGAATTCGAGTTTTATCACAGAAATTTGGCAACGCCTGAAGGTTGATACGGCGTTTTTCCTTAGCACGGCAGTATCTGCACCGATGTCAACTCCTGGATGCAACTATTCGTACTCGATGAATGTCTGTCTTGCGTAAGCAAATAATTGAAGGCGCGTCGGTACTTCATGTATTCTCAGTGCCACAGCTCTTGTGCTAAACACTAAAGCTTAAAGGATGGAAATTCTTGTTTTAAAGATGCCAAACTCGTTTCACAGTATAGATGTATCCATGGACAAACACATAGAATAACAATTTAAAAGGCGAGTTTTCTGAGGAGGGAAATCGAGTGGTTTGGGGAGACACGGTGCACTAACGTCGAAAACTCAAGAATAGGTAGAAATAAGTCGGATAACGACTGAAAGATCACGAAAGTTTCGTGCCCATTGATTTTTGAGTCGCTAATTTCGAATTTGATGTCAAATTGCCTACATTTTAACACCCTGACATATAAATAGTGGGCAAGTTCGTGGCACGCTGCGGCGCGGCGTGCTGCCAGCTCGGAACGCTCACTGACGCCTACAAACCTAAGGGGATACTTCAAGCATTGCGCGATGCGTGAAGTAGCCCCTTAGGTTTGTAGGCGTCGGTGCGCGTTTCGAGCTGGCAGCACGCCGCGCCGCACATTGGTTCCAGAGCCCGATCTAGGCGGCATTAATTCGAAAAAATGACTTTTGGAAAAATTGAAAAATAGTACAACTGGTCGACACTACATACTCTGGAGGGTATTTCGGCCAAATATCATGATGATTGGATGAGTGATAAGGAAATGATAAGCTCCTAAAGGTGAGCGCGCAGGCCGTTCTCTCTGCGGCTGTATCCATTTCCTCAGTTATCTCATTCGAGTGATGTTCCTAATAGAGGTTTGTCGCCATTTTGGGCAAAGAAACAAGGTTTTGAAGGTAGAATCCTAATATTCAAGTGAATTTGAAGGTTTACGATGTTTAAATCATAACTTTAGGTTAAGTCTATGGCTCTAGATAAANCCCAAAAAACACAAATAAGCATATGTTGCACGCTGGTAAGGGTGATATTCTAATTAATGCCGCCTAGATCGGGCTCTGGAACCAATGTGCGCCGCCGCGGAGTAGGCTTTCTGCATGCTCGTTGAATAATCGGCAGAACTCTCCACCTGAAACTGACTTAATTTGTATTTTGTTCCTTTCAATAAATTAAATTTCACTCTTAAATGACAGGAGTGGTTTCAACCTATCACTTCGGTCTCTTTTTGCACCTCCGTTTGCGATGTTGCAGTTTTTTTCTTCTTTTGCGTAGGTTCCTTTTTTTTCTAGAAGCCGGCAGACTATGTCTTAAAATTTGCCCAAGACTATCAAAAAAACTTAGCAACATAAAGTCACACGAAGTTCAGTTCAATCGCAGCCATCCTCTTAATCGCGTGAAACAGTTTGACAAGACGTAATTTTTTTAAATACATCGATGGCATAGTGTAAAACCACGTTCCTCCGTTTGCGACGTAGCAGACTTCTCAGCATACCTAAGATGGACTGCTATTTGGAGCTATAAATTCTGGCGCATCTGAAAAAACACTTATGTGCATGGGGGGAACTAATGGCACATACGTTGTTTTTAAACCGGGCGGGAATTTATAGTTTATAATTGCAAAATGTAGTCCATATATTCTTATGCAAACTAGTCAACGTAATTTCTTGAAAACTTCCTCGAATTTTCTATTCTGATGTCAGCAAAATAATTTTATAAATTTTAAGCCATTAAGTTGGCTTGTTTCTCTTTGGGAAAATAAAATTAGGGTGGAAATTTCGAAAAATTGCAATTTATATAAGTGGTTTTGCACTTTTGCTATCAATTGGTATATCAAAGAAAATTCGTCAATATCATAAGAGGGTTTGAACGGCGCGGCGTTCTGCCTTAGGAAGGCAGCATAAGGAGGGATCTGTAACGTTGATTCGATATTGTTTAGTAGTCGATCGGAGTCAAGAGCGTAAACAAAGACGCGTGCTTTGATAACGGGGTTGGATTTTCGTCCAAACGCGGAATCGCAGCAGGGATCACTTTCCGCCAAAGACGCCGCTTTTACCGCGAAACTCTTAAGATTTCCCATCATTTTTCCAGCTCGAACACGCTTGCAGATGAGCTTGGCATCAGTGCGCATGGAAGTTGCTTGATGTACCATTAGCGCCGTTGGCAACTCTCTTAAATTAATCTTAAACTTTTTTCCCCCTTTGGTTTATTTATTTTTTTCTGGACATTGAAAAAAGTCGCCGGTCTGTGAGTTATCCTCTCCGGGCTGAAAGCCTTGGTTTTAGGAATTGTACAGTGTACACCGTGTTACGGAAGAGCAGTAAGGACCAAATTTTCGGAATCCTTTTTTTTTACCACACACCTAGAGCCAATTTTTCAAGCCCCCGCCCCCCTCCACAAAAAAGCATCTTAATTTGTATAACTATTAGATCTCTAAGGGGCCGCCCCTAAATTACGTAATTCTGAAAGGGGAAAGGGGGTGGAGAGGAACATTGCGCTATTTTATTTTTACGTGTTAAAGGATAGGGACCCTTGTCACAAAGGCGTTACAAGATGGGAGTGGAGTCAAAAATGTGAAAAAAAAAGATGCATCACGTAATCTAGAGACGGCCGCCAAAATTAATTATTGTGTACGAATGGAATTTAATAAATTCTAAAACTTTAGTATTCTAAAATATGACTTTATCTCTTAACACAATCAAAAAAGTAATTAATCATACATAATCCAATCCATTCCTTGTCCAAACTACAGGTTGCCACCAAAATCGGCCAAAAATACAATGGCACGTACTTTCTCCCGCCAAGAGTTCTCAACTCCCATAAAATATCGGGATAACACGAATATAATCCTGAAAATTAAGGGCGAATCCCGAATTTTCAGGGACGAGTTTGAAAGTGACCCTGAGAGAACTCACGCAACTGGCTCCAAACGGGCGACCGGGAAGTCGCTCCGACACGAAAGCGGAAGTCCATCAGGGGGATTTTTCTCTCCTCCAATCCGGCAACGGTGAGCGTGGCGTCATCGATCGCGAGTCGGCGGGGAAGGGGCGTTCGGGGGGGGGGCAGGGGGGATTGGCCCTTATTCGGGATACGATCGAGCCCGCGCACGTGGCATCTCGCACGCAGCAGGCAATACTGCCCCAGCTGGCCCAAGCAACGATGTGGAGCCACGCAATCCAGAGTCATGGTGTTTCCGCACTGAAAAAGGGACACATTTCGTTTTTTCGCCTTCAATTTTCCGGGTAGGCCACGAGGCAGCGATGTGGAGCCAAGCAATCCGGAACGGCGCACAGAGGATCGAGTCAATGGCGGAGGTATGACAAAATTTTGGAACTTTACACGCTTATAACTCCGCTTTTACAAAATTTTGAGGTTCTATAAGTGGTTTCAATGGTTTTCTCGTGAAATTTTCCTCCTAGAGCACCCCTTAAAATCTAAAATCGGACAAAATAAACATTAAAATTTGCAGTTTTAGTCAAAAATTTCATGTCCGATCTCTCTAATTGACTCGATCCACTGTATGGCTTACAGAGGATCGAGTCAATTAGAGAGGTTGGAAATGAAAAGTTTGACTGAAGCTGCAAATTTTTAAGTGAATTTTGTCACATTTTAAATTTTGAGGGGTGCGTGTAGGAGAAAATTTCACGAGAATACCAATGGAACCACTTTTAGAACCTCAAAATTTTGTATGAAGGGAGTAATAAGCTTTTAAAGTTTCCAAATTTTGTCCGATCTCTCCTATTGATTTGATTCACTGTGCGGTGGTGTTTCCGCACTGAAAATTTCGAGGCATATTTCGTTATTTCGCCTTCAATTTTGGAGGTAGGCCAGGAGGCAACGATGTGAAGCCAAGCGATCCGGAACGGTGGTGTTTCCGCACTGAAAATTCAGAGGCACAGTTCGCCATTTCGCCTTCAATATTCGGGGTAGGCCAAGAGGCATTCTCTGCGTAACGAGCTACCTATTCGAGAATGAATCAGTTGCGCTGGTCACAGAATCTTGTTTTGATGTTTGTGATATCACCATGTGAGAATTCGCTCATCCTATTCTCTTGTTATGTTACAGAAATTCATTGTCAAAACCGACAGATGCGGTGACCTGACAGTGCATGTGCAGGTAAGAGTCAATTTATTTTATTTGATAAATGAACATTCTTGTAGTTCTTCCAGAGAGGATCGAGTCAAAAATGAGACGTCAAGGAAGATTTTGAATGGCATACCAACCATGGCATGCATGCTATTATGACGAAACAACTTAAATGGTAAGCTCATGCTACCGTGCTAAAGAAGAACGCCGTATGAACATTGGAGAGTTGCCAAATTTTCTTCGATATAATGTTTATTTTTGAGAAAAGTTATGAACATTTTTCCTTTAAATTTTCAAGAGCTTGAGGTGAAATTGCGAACAAAATCATCTAAAAAATTGGAAGAATGATGTTCATAGTTTACCCTAGAAATTCGTGTTCTATCAAAGGACATTTGGCAACGCCTGAAGGTTCATACGGCGTTTTTCTTCAGCACAGCAGCATGTGTGAAGAATGGTAGAAGAAAAGTTGCCAAAGAGGTCCTCGATTGGGTTCCTCCTGAGAGAAAGCGCAGATGGGGACCCAATTAGAGGGTGAAGGGATGAGATTGAGGCAGAAATGTTGAGGTCCTCGATACCCGAAGGGTTGGGGTTCTAGGGAAAACATTAGCGATTATTTGTCGTAGAGTGACAGGGAGTGCTATGAGGTGACATGGTGTTTATGTATGATCATATCAAAACGTCATGCCAAATTACCATTTTTTAATTTTTTTTTTTTTTTTTTTTTTTTTTTTTTAAATTGGCTACTCAATTTCGAAAAATGTGAGCACAGCGATTCTGACAACGCGGCAACGCTAAGGAAATGACCCGGTAAAAATAGGGCAGTTGAACTTTGAAGAATCGCTTGAGGGGGTGTTGGGAGGGATCGTGCCTCCCATTCAACCTCACCCTCATTCCAAACATGAGGAGCGCGTATTTAAGGACTGATGGGAATCCGCCTCGAACGTGTTTTCTCTTCGATATTTCTCGGAAGGGAAAATTGCTTTTGTTACAGACGATCGCCTTCAACCGGTACCTTTTCGAGCCCAATCTGATCAAATGTTCTGTGTCAAATTAAAACTGCCATCGGCTGTAAAATTTCACAGGCCTCGTTTTTCTCGCTATTTGATACATCATATCGCTTCCTATTTCAAGGAGATTCTGTCTTTGAAATCGGAGAGGAAGAACTGAAAAACTTACTTCGGAAACTCCATTTCGGGAACAATATACACCCATCGATTTTTTTGTGCACGAACATATCGACGGTGTAAGTCGGCAATCACATAACTCGGTTTGCGACGTTGCAGACATTCTGTCAAACTTTATTTTTTGATCGGAAAACTACTTAACGCGCGGCAATTCTTTAAAATTGCCGTGATTTTTCTTTTCTGTGCTAAGAAAATTCTTCAAAACATCAAGGAATGATGTAAATTTGTTCTCCTTAAAAAAAATAACACAGAGGCGGAGATTTGCAGACGCCGCAAACCAGTTATGAGACTGTCGACTTACACCGTCGATATGTGCTTTTAATCATCTTGTCCGTATACTTGGTTCCTTCTTGCTTAAGTCGTTCCATCTCCAAAACTCGATTGGATTACATTTTGCAGTAAGGAGCCACTGTATCTGTTCTTTCATAAAATTACCTTTCTGCATGGGGATATCAATTGCATACATTGTTTCTAAAATGAGCCAGGAATTGTGGTTCCTTAATGCAAAATAGGGTCCAATTAAACGCGGTAACGCAAGTACTAGTCATCGCGGATGATCAAGAATAGACTGTACTTCAGAAACGACCTATCACCCGCCAATTCCAATATGAAAATGCGCGTCTTTGTATTCAAGAACAAATACTTAGTTCCCTCTAGCTGAACTCGGTCCGTTTCAAAATCTCAATTATCTGCAGTACTTCTAGCGCAAATCACTGCGGATATAATCAAGAGTCCATCTTACGATCAAGAATCCATAGTACGCGATTAAAAATCCACTGTATGTCAGAAACAACGTATCAACAGACAATTCCCGAAAAAAATGCGTATATTAATCCTCCTGTCCAAATACTTGGTCCTTCCTTCTGCCGTGGTAAAGGGAAACGCAGTCTATGAGCATTCAAATGTTGACAAATTTCCTCTCAAAAAATATTCAGTTTACAGGAAAGCTATGATTAATTTTCCTCGAGTTTTTCAAGCACTTCAGCTCAAATTACGAAGAAAGTTCGGTAAAAAAAATCTGAAGATAAATAGATACGAATTTTCCTAAAAATGTGTGGTTTATCAAAGGAATTTTGGCAACGTCTGGTGGCTCATACGACGTTTTTAGGGAAAGCTTGCTCCGCGGTAGGTGACTCTAATCCAGATCACCTTGGGTGATCAAGAGTGCATCTTTTTGTTTCAGAAACGACATATCAATCATCGATTCCCGGGTGAAAATTCGCGTGCCATATCCCCGATTTCCTTCTGCTGAGTTCAGTCTGGCGTTTCACTTACGGTTTCAACATCTCACCGTCGCCCCCCCCCCCCTTGCTC